TAGGATTTTCTACATGCAGAAGTGAGGTTCTGCTGCCGACACACAGCTCCTGTCGCTGATGCCGAAGGAACGTTTTAAAAGCTGAATTTGCACCAAGGGAATGTTAACAAAATCCTGAATGTGGACTGATGTAGAGTAATGGCTAAGAGAAAGGGCTGCGATCTGTGTTCAAAGTGCACCCCTTTCGTGAACTTAGGCAAGGCAGCCTTAGGTCCTCCAGCAATACAAGACAGTAACACTGGCCTACCCTAAAGGGATGCTGTAAGAAATTCAATGGGGTAAGATGCGTGAAACTCTCGGAACCCTGAAAACACTACAGAAATCTAGTTGCCTAGTACATTTTTGTCTCATCTTTCCTCCAAGAGCATTGCATGTGGTTTACCCTTCACTGTTTTATTTTCAAAGCAGCCCTGTGAGACAGGTTAGGCTGGAAGGGTGTGAATGGACCCAAATTAACCAGTGAGCTTTATAATTGGGGGGGGGGTTGAACCTGTGTCCAATACTGTAGCCATTATAGTAAAGGTAAAGGTAAAGGTTCCCTTGCTCGAAAGCCAGTCGAATCCGACTCTAGGGTTGCGGTGCTCAACTCCGTTTCAAAGCCAAAGAGCCAGCGCTGTCCGAAGACGTTTCCGTGGTCATGTGGCCAGCATGACTAAACACCAAGGTGCACGGAACGCTGTTACCTTCCCACCGAAGTGGTACCTATTTATCTACTTGCAATGTCTTGCTTTCGAACTGCTAGGTTGGCAGAAGCTGGAACTAGAGATGGGAGCTCACTCCACGATGCGGCACCCGAGTCTCGAACTGCTGAACTACTGACCTTCCACAGCCTGCAGTTCAGCGTCTTAACCACTTGAGCCACCGCAGCTCCACTTGAGCCACCGCAGCCATTATACCACACTGTAATTTTTGTGGTTTGAATCCTGGCTAGATTTTCATGGCTGTGGGGAGGGCAATTTTCACCCATCCCCCCTCCTCCTGTGGGAGACAAAGCCATTCCTAAACCATTCCTGGGGGTCCCCCATGTCCCAGGAGATGAGTTCTGGACTGCCACAGGAGGGAGGAATTCTTGAAAATTACCCCTCCCCACCCACGGAAATCTAGGTGAAATCCAAGCCTCTGAATTAAAAGCGCAAATGCCTTCCTGCACTATCCTCCGGTATTCTTAGACTGCAGGTTTGGAAGGGAGGCTGTCTGAAGGGGAGGGGAAACCTGACGCAACTTCTGCCATGAGCACAGAGCTGTTTTCCTAGCATGAGCTCAGCCGCATTCGGAAGGTGTCCCAAGGAACACCGTCTCAGCTGTTCCACTGCACAGCAGGCCGCAACTTGCCAGACAGGCTGATGGGCAGAACGAGGCCTTCCTACGAAAACAGCATGTAAAAAAGGCCATTCCAAGTCTGCTGAACAGCAAGAAATGCTTTCCTGCAGGAAAAGATGTGCAAATTCTACATGTGTTGCACGAGAGCCAGGGTAAAGCAGGGATTGTACAGCTGTGAGCCCAGAATCCTGGGTTCGAGTGTCGCCTCATTCATGAACTCACCAGGTGGCCTTAGGCCAGGCCATCTCCGCCTTGACACAGATGCCCCCCCACCTCCACGTCCTCTACTGGAATAAGTTTGGCCTTCTGTGCAAAGTTGCTGGGAGGATAACTTAGATAACACATGGGGTTTGTTTTGAACTTTCTGAAGCTCATTTCCTTTATTTATACCCCACCTTCCTCCCCAACGAGGACTCAAAGCAGCTTACAACATTCTCCTCTCCTCCATTTTATTCTCACAGAAATCCTATAAGGCAGATTAGGCTGAGAGTGTGCGTGGCCCAAGGTCACCTGGGCAGGCTCCCAGGGCAGAGTTGGGGATTCGATTCGAACCGGGTTCAACTTCTCCCAGATCCTAAACTGACACTCTAACCACTACACCACACTGGCTATATAAATGCTAAGTATTGTCCTCATTTAGTCACTGAGCTGCAGGAGAGCCAGGCACAAAGGAGGTGGGCTTCTCTGGAGTGGATAATGGCCTTAAAACACTCTGAAGCAAACTTTCTGAGGGTGTACGATGGATGTGCATTTCCAATTTTAGCCCAGAAAAAAAACATGCTTCTGTTATTAGGAATCTGGGGAAACAGAAGACAGCCAAGGCATTCTGAGAACGATGCGTACCAGGGAAGCACTTATCTCTCACTCCCAAACAGACCTCATGCAGGATTGTATTTGTGGTAATGAAGTCACCCTCCACACGGTCATGGAAGGGGCAGAAACACAGGGCAGTCCTCCTTATAGGAAAAGACTAAGGCTAGGATCATGCAGGTGGGAACGGTGAGTGACAGAGAAGATGGATGGTCATCCTTAGTTTGGGGAAACAGATGTTTTATGTCTAGGCATTTTCAAAAAGGCCATAATGGTAGGAAAAGCTGAAGGCAGCAGGAAAAGTGGACGACCACCGATGAGATGGATTGACTCAATCAAGGCAGCCGCGGCCTTCAGTTTGCAAGATCTGAGCAAGGCTTCTAATGAGAGGACTGCTCTGGAGGTCATTAATTCACAGGGTGGCCATAGATCAGAAGGGGCTTGGCAGCACATAAGCAACAAGATCACACCATCGTTTGGTCGATCCAGTCTGGGTCATCTGAAATTGGCTGTAGCTCGTGGAATGAAATGAATTTAAAAATGTAGGTGGTTCGTTCACAGGGGATAACCAGCTTTATCCAGAGACAAGAGAAAGCTTCACCTAGAAAGCTTCTTGAGGAGAAACTCTCGCAGAACAATGTCAGAATCTGACCCCAGCGAGAACTCTCTGTTCCAATCGTTGTGCTTCCAGGTGTTGTGTTTACAGTTACTGTGTGGGCCAAAACAAGAGATCCTGTTCTAGAATTACCTTGTCAAACTGCAGAGGAACCACAAATCGCTTGCAGCATGGTACAGAAGGGATTTTGGCAGTGTTTTCAAAGTTCCCATCCAGGTTTTTTAAATAGAACAAGTCATACAGGCTATTATCCTTGTAGGAAATGAGGTCCAAAACTAGATGGCCATTTTCCTCGTAAGCATTCACATGGTGAAAGACGACCAGGGCATCCGTGCAGAACTTGGCAGGCACTTCTTTTTTGCTTCGTCTGTCAACAAGGTGAATCCAGGTCTGCCAAAGGGAAAGCAAACTAGTAGTTATGGAATGCTGGTTTCACAAGGCTATTGTCAGTAGGGATTAGCAGTAAGAAATTTACTAATCATGGTCCACACCCCATTCATAAATATTGCAAAGGCTTTGAATGCAAATGGAATTATTTCTGACATTCGGTGCTGGTCAGCATCTGATAGCTGTTCCTGGACTTTACCACCCGATTTGGTTTCCTGGACAGTGAGAAGTAGGAGGGGCAGCAAGGAGAAAGAGCGACTCGGCAGAAGTATACCTGATAGAGACGTTGTCCAACCAGAATTGTTAACACATCTACTAGCAGACTGAAAGTAGGAGATCGAGAGGGGCATCAGGCTTCCCTCTACTTGCTATATTAAAGAGCAGATCAGCGATGACTCAAACTCAGAAAATGTCTCTCTGTGCAAAAAATGATGATTCAGGGTCTAAGAACGTTTGGAAGTCTTTGTTGTACCTAAAAGCACTGCAACTGAGCAGGACAGGAACCTGCTATGAAGGACAGGAACCTGCTATGAATACCCCACTTTTCTCTATCTTAAGAAGTCTCAAAGCTGCTGACAATTGCCTTTCCCTTCTTCTCCCCACAACAGGCACCCTATGGGGTAGGTGGGGCTGAGATAGTTCTGAGAGAAGCCGAGGTCACCCAGCTGTCTTCATGTGGAGGAGCAGGGAATCAAACCCGGTTCTCAACTGGTCTTAACCACTACATCCCGCCGAGTCTGCCCATTCACATGTAAAACACAGGATCTATTTTTAAACAAAAAAGGAATGTGTGAGCAAGGGGCACTGATCATGCTATGCCCCCCCCCCATCTTTCCACACTCTGCTGTGTAGAGCATATTTTCTCCTGGCCAGGCTTCCATGTTGGGAAACAGCCAGACCTGGAGAAAACCCCTGAAAGATATGGAGCACAATAACACATGAAAGGAAACTCTCTATGGGCACAACCAGGGGGCATTTCCTGCAGGAGCGCACAGGAGCGGAGCTCCGGCAGTAAAGAGCCCAGGGGGCGGGAACATGCAACAAGCCCCACCCCCTGTTCCCAGCAGCCCTCAGTCAGAACAAGAAGCAGCCAGGTAAGTTGCAGAGCCCCCTCCCCCCCCCCCCCGGCCTCCAGGTCCAAAACAGTCCAGTGGCACCTTTAAGACCAAGTTTTATTCAGGTACATGCTCTCCCTCCCCTGCAAGGGACAGATCTGCATGTCCCCCCCTCCCCAATAGCTAACAATCCAAAGCAGTCTACTGGAGCCTGAGCAGTGGGTGTTGCCTTCTGACACACTTCGGGTGATGTCAGGGGGTGTGGCATATGCAAATAAGTGATGCTAATGAGTTATGCTAATGAGCTCCTGCACCTCTTTTTCTACAAAACGACCCCTGGGCACAACTACATTATACACCCAACATGTGTCAGGTCATGGGCGTGCAACTGGACTCACAGATGTACATCAAGACAACTACCTTTAAAAAATACCAAAAAAAGAGAGAACTGCCTGAAAAGGTGCTGGTTCGATTGGCAGTGTGAGGGAACATGATGATGGGAGAGAAGGATTGTTCAGGCTTCTCACCCACCCCCACTTTTGCCAGCAGAAAGGGAGGGGATTTTCTCCCCTTTGGCCTGGTGCCACGCAGTGTTCCCCCTAAGCTGAGTTAGTGTGAGCTAGCTCATAGTTTTTTAGTCTCCAGCTCACACATTTTCATCTTGGCTCAGGAAGGATGGCTCCAGAGCAAACCAATTTATGCCGTAGCCAAGTCGCTTGCTCACAACTTTAATGCCGGTAGCTCAGAAAATAGAATTTTTGCTCACAGGACTCCACAGCTTAGAGGGAACATTGGTCCTAGTTTATGTTTGTCTGTCCTCTGTCCAGTAAATATGGTACCAGACCCTATAAACCTAGTTTCTAGCAGGGTAGGAAGGAAACAGGAGGCTCCTTCCCTCTCCTTGCAGCACTGAGCAAACAAGCGCTTTTTAAGGAATGCCTTTTAAGCTTCCCCTAATGTACATTTGACTGCAAGTTGGGTCATGCACCCGTGACCCAACACATGTTGGGCATGTCGTGTCGTCTGTCTCTGTGTTTCATTATTCCATGAAAGGAAGGAAAAGCACATTCACACACCAGTTTGTGCCTCGCTGTGACTGTCTTTGTTTTGGAGAAAAGATGCTTTGGTGAAGAAATACATGGGGTCCAGGAAGCACACTGCCTCCCCCCCAGTGCCCTGAGAACCATGAAAAGGCACTTTCCCTTCAACACAAGTGTGCAAAGGCACATTTATTTATTGATTTGATTTATACCCCACCCTCCCTGCCGAAGCAGGCTCAGGGCGGCTTACAAAAGATAAAACATAAGAACAATTATGACATAAATAAAAC